CCAAAGAAACCAGGACGACGTTTTGACTCTCATGATGGACCTCAAGGAACAGACTTTAAAACAGAACAACTTTATGGACCTAGTGGTGATCCCCAGGTACTAGGTTTCGGACCAGAACAATCTTTTGATACTCAGGACCAAAAAACCTTGACAGCATTTCATTTCACATAGTGGGTCTCGTACTTCAAGTTTTAAACCAAGACAACCTTCTGAGCACAATAATGGATTGCAAGAGCAAGGAAATCCTTCTGGTATACATGAAGAACTATCTGAGCCTCATGTAAGACCACAGAAACCAGGACAAAGTTTAGTTTCTCATAGTCGATATCAAGGAACAGTTCTTAAACGATAACGATTTTCTGGGCCTAGCAGTAGACTCCAGGGACCAGGATTTGGAACGGGACAACCAGCTGCTAGGTATGTAGGCTCACAAATACCGGGACAATATTTTGTTTCGCATGGCGGACCATAAGGACCAGGTTTTAAACAAGACCAATCTTCTGGGATTTGTGGAAGGCTGCAGAAACCAAGCTTCGGGGCAAGAAAACCTTCGAGAAATTATGATAGGCCCCAGGGGCCAAGACAGCATTTTTGAAACCACACTGGAACTCGAAGCTCGGATTTTGTACCTGGACAAACTTTTACTTCTTATGGTGAACCTCAGGGATCAAGTTTTCAATCGGGACAATTTTCTAGGTCTTCAGGTAGACCTCGTGCACCAGGACAATCCTTCGGCTTTCACAATGGACCCCAAAAGTCAGACTTCAGTGCAGGATCTCTGTCAGAATCAAAGGGCACTCCAGTGTGGACGATAATGATGGGTGGAGCTGGAGACTAAGTCAAAGAGTATTTTGTTTGAACCATTGACGTTTTTTTTAACACTGAGATATTTTTTCATAATTTAACTGGACGAAATGCCCATCATATCGTACTACTCTATTTCTTCATTTAAATATATTAATACTTTCCACTGTAATTTGACAAGTTCCACATCGCGAACATTGTTCTGAAGATTTATAATAAAACATACCTGGCTGAATGGAAATGCACTGAGTGTATGTCCTTCATTGAATTTAAAAACACGTCCTGTCATTTAGTTTCATCCACATAAAATGGTTTTTAACATATTTATATAGCAATGAGCAAAAATAACTTTTCTTCCACAATGAACTTGTGTTTTTAATAGTGAACATTTGCGTTTCATGTTTTCGTTAGGTGTTAAAACAAATGTAATTGGTTTCACAAATGACTGTGTGAGGATATAACTTAATTTCAGTTTACATTAAAAAAAAATAGTCCCCTGTGGGACAGCGCTAAGTCACCGGATTTACAACGCTAAAATCAAGGGTTTGACTCCCGCCGATAGACACAGCAGATATCCCGCTGTGTCTTTGTTATATATAAAAAAAAACACAAACACACACACATGACGTTTTTTGTTTCAACATCTTTCAGAACAAACCAGTATCAAAAACGTCATACTTAGAAAGTCGTATTCATTGCGCACAATGTCACCTTTTCCATTATACTTATGAAGTAAAAACACGCTATAATTTCTTATAATAAAAGATTTAAAATATTTGTTAAAAAATAGCAATAAAGGTTGCGTTTTTGCTCTACCAGTACATTTAAGGAGAGAAATACTTACACGTAACTAATATATTTCTGTTTAGTTAAAAGAATAACTTTTTCAGTGTTTGAGTTTCACACGGTGTCGTATTTTTTCCCAGTGTCTTTAACGGGAATGTGACGTTCTCAAGCCAATTATTTTCTTAGCTCCTACAAATACACGAACTTAGATACGTCCTACTTATTTAATGAATTTTCCTACATTTCAAAACATCTAAATGATCTAAAATGAAAGGGATATACACGGATTCGTTGTTTTGGCAATGTGATTGTGCAATTGTTTCTTTCGGCAAAGTTCCAAAATCCTTGACCCTATTTTTTTCGTTACATTGAATGAATGGAAATAGCTAAAGGGGCAGATTTGGTACTACATTATGATAGCTTTGGAAGTAATGCCTGTTCAACGTAAGATGCTAACACACGCAAACATACACACACACAACAAAAAAAAAACGTTAACAAACTTGAACTGATTCCATTTTCTGTAACTTGTTAATCTCACACTCTTAATGCATGTTTCCTTCTCTTTCTCACCTTACTATCGCCATCTAGTGACAATCATAAAAACTATTTTATTAATTTCTCGTTTATAAGTAGTGTATTAGCTAACACACATTCAATAAAACACTCATTGATAAATACGTTCACGAATTAGTATGACTTAAATGTTTGAGAGATATCACGCCTTCCATCAATGGGGCGCAACTGATCAGAGTTGTTTTCTGTTTTCTTCTGCTAACACCTTACCAACTTACATTGAAATTTTGATTACAAGTCGTTTAAGTCTACTTACTTTGTTCTCAGTTGTTATAAGCCGTTAACTCACACGCATTTTACTGGACTATCATCTGTTCTGCTGTGAGTGAACTGTAAATTAGAAAATGTATTAGTGGATAAACGTCTATAACAGTAGTAGTAAACTATTAACTCGAAAATATCTGGGTGAAATATAATCCGTCGCAAAGAAGGGAAATTGTTGATTTTTTTTTTTTATAGTGGAGTACCATCTGTTCCAATGATGGCAAACTTTTAACTGGAAAACATTTTAGTAGTCCGTCATCTTTGCTTATGATGGCAGAAATGTAACTGGAATATGGTTTAGAGGACTGTGACTTGATCACCTGAATATTGTTTTCTTTTCACTGAAACATTACTTTTCACGTTTTCAACTATATCATTTCAACTTCTTCTCAGTTGCTCAGCGGTAAGCTTCAAGGATGGCTACTCTATTTGTAGTATCTGTAAAGTTCGCAATCATGCAGCCTTGGCTATAATTTGACACTTACCATCAGCCATCACCGTGATTGCCGATCCGATGCTCGAAATTGAGCTTGGTGCTATCTTTCAAAGTACAGTTTAAAGGTTTCTGTTATGTGAGACAGCCTAGGTGTTTATGTAACATGGTCGAAATTGATCATGCAGTGGTAAAAAAAAAAAAAACTCTGATGCTGTCAGCAGTGTGGTGTTCGAAAGGGCAAGAACCCTATATATATAAACAAATTATACGCGACATCAATACGGTTGCAACAAAAAGTTAATAACCGCTATGGTACATGTGTCGTTCCTGTCATATAAACATTACATTACATCCACAGCCTGGACACAGCTATATACGTATGGATGTAATAGATTATGAGACTCCATATAAACTACAGAATACATTAAAAACGGTTATACAGCCGCTAGGTAAGCAAAGAAATTTAAAACCACCCTAATGAATGCGCAATGCGTTTAGTAATATGTCTCATGTTTTATTACAATACTCACAGCAATTTTTTCTATTATCCCGCGTAAAATTGTCAATTAATCGAAATTAAGATTATTAACTAATCGAAATTAGTGTTTCTGATTATTGATTATTCCAACTATCCAAGTAATCAAAATATTGTCATTGTGATTTCTAATTATTATTATCGATTAATTCAAGTTTGTTCAGCTAGTTACCGGCATGGCCTGTAATTAGGGCGATTGTGCCAAAAGTTAACGGTGGGTGCAGCCGACAAGTTGCCTTACCCCTGGTCAGCAACTCAAAATCATGGAGTGCAGCCATAGTTTTAGTAGATTTATCATAACTCAGGCAACCTTTTTCAGATACATGCCAACTGAATTCACAGAATCACAATAGCTATTAGTACTCCTAATGGCACTTCTGCGCGTGGCAGTACATGCATGAGTTCTGCTTGCACGCAACTCGGTGATGCGAGGATGTGGCCTAATGGCCGTTGGTTGCATAACTGGCCACAGTGATGATAGATTTCCTTGTTTGATTATTTTTTTTCAAATGAGTAGTGGTGTTGCTTTAACTTATGTTGCCTACTCATTACAAACTAGAAACCTAGAAGTTTTTAAGACTATGAGGTATTCGTCTTTTGTAAAAGATTTTAGATTGTGATATGTGTGTTTCTGGGAGTTTCAAGACTATGCGGTATTCGAGTTTTATAAAGTCTTCAGATTATGATATATGTATGTTTCTAGAAGGTTTTAAGACTACGAGGTATTCCTTTTTTGTAGAATATTTTAGATTATGAAGTCCGTGTTGTTAATATATATATATATATTATGAGAAGTATTTCAGAAAGTTTTTAATTTGGAATTTTACTAGATTATTCTTACTTCTGATTGAATATTGGTCTTTATTGAAAGTACTGAAAGTTGCATATTTTTATTGGCTCTTTAAAACACATACATAAAACAAGTTGCATAAAAGCTAATACAAATACATTGATAAGCCTCAGATCGTGCATATCAGAGCCGAAAAGTGCATCTTTGTCTTGCTAATTATCTGAAATCACATAACCATCATTTCTCCAATTGGGAAGCGAGAAGTGTAATATACATTTTCCATCAATTTTGACATATAACTTTTACTGTAAAGCTTCAAACATGAAGCTTTAACCAAAAATATTCTTAAGTTGAAAGGAATTAGTAATTGGTCTATAATAATTACTATTATTAATTGCTATTTTTTTCTCAGACCAGAATTTATTACATACCAAGTACAATTACTTCATTATGTATTAAGTTATTTTTCAGTTCTGATAGCTTGCTTTGATTAAAAGTTATTAATAATCAACTGTGTTGGACCACTCATATATTACAGTATTCAATCTAAAATGTTTTAATTATATTAGACAAATAGTGACATAATACTATCATATTGACCATATTTCTACAATCATATCATTAATGGCACATTACACAAAGTCAATAAAATTATCATTCGCACATGTTTGTTTGATTTTACAATGTTCGTACGATGATAGAATAAAAGCAATTTTTCATCGTAGGTTTACATTTGGAAAAAATATTTTAAAAAACTATATTCTCTCTTTCTTTTTATAATTTTACCAAAATTAGTTCCTTATAAATTTGAATAAATCATGTAGTTACATGAGCTGAAGGAAATTACTTTATAGATAAGCCACGAAAATATGCCTCCGTAAGGAAGTGCAATCTTGAGTAGGCTTAGCTCTCGCTAGGACTACTATGCAATCACTCATATTGTTCAATGTTACAGCGATAAAAAGTATTTTTAGGTCTGAGTACAATGTTTAATTCATACATTTGAAATAAACTAATTTAACTATCTTATAATAAATTCATATAAAATTTGTACTAAAATGGCTTAACAATTTTCGTTTTGCAAAATTAATAATATTACTCTTAAAATTAGATACCATGTTCCCAGTTATATTCATCCGGCAAAGAGAAAGTAATAAAACATGTAATAGCGAAAAGATGTGGATACATAAAAACGTTAGCCTCAGCAGTACTGAGTAAAAACCTTATTTCTTGCAGCTTGGATAACCCTTTTAGCATTTTCTCCTGTCAGTTGCCAAGACAAGCATCGAACGTTACCTCCCATCTCACAAACTCCTAAAGCTTCAATTGGTACAACAGTTTGGTTTGTTTTACTTTGTATGGTGTTTAGCATCGACTGGTCTGTGGGTTTTTTAAATGTAGGAATATAGAGATATTTATTTGTCAGTACTCCGTTGACCATTAGCCCACATGCAGAAGGTATGGTTTTGTCGCACGCTGCATTCCCACCGACACATTTTGACGTGTCTTTGGGAGTCCAAGTGTCAGCATCTTCAATTAATTCGATACCAGGAAATGCGGTTTTCAGTTCAGCCAATGTCAGATTTCTCAAAGTACTATTATAAGCATAATTAGTAACCAGAGCAACGTTTTCACTGATAAACATGACCATGCCATCGGAATGAGCTAAGCCATCCGGATCATCTACTGGTACAATAGCTACTTTATCAACTCCTTGGTAAAATCTTTTTAACTTTTCTTTGGCCTCGTCCTTCGTTAGTTTGTTGTCTTGCATAAATCGCTCAGTAACAACAATTTTGTCTGCATAGTTGTCAACTACGTTACCACCGTCCATAAAGAGACTCTCGTCCTTAGGTGTCTCATCAAACGTTACTCCCAAAGATTTGAAACATTTTGTGAAAAAATTTTGAACATTGTCAGCCAAAGTTTGATCGTTCTCATAGGAAGCAGGGGTCAAGCGAAACTGGACTGGGTTGTAAGGATTCACGGTTGTTGGATCTCTCATCCAAATGTCCCACATGCCTTTCTCAAACAAGATATCATCAGGAAGATGGGGCTTAAATCTATCGATAGCTTTACTGTCTCCAAGAACAACGATATTATCTTTGCCAATAACGCTGTTTGCATATTTGATGTCAAAATTTATTATGTCGTCGTACTTACTTTGATAATAATCGTCCTGCGATGTTGGTGCAGAAATGACGATCAGATGAGCGTCGGGTTTATTTTCGTCATTAGTGTATTTGTCCACAGCATACCCAGAAATCATTGATACCAGGGAGTAAAGTAAGACGATGTTATACATGATGAGCCACTTCATGAAACACGACTTAGCACTTTAGTGGCTTCAACCTTAAAAAATGTGGAAAAATAGAAAAATTTCCCATTATAAATACTTAATTTTACCCAAGTGAATCACTATTTTCACATATGCGGATGACATATATATATTACAACTTTGAAAAGGTTATGTTTGAGATTACACGCAATAACAACATCATCATATATAAACATTATTCGAACAACCAATACTAACTTTGTTTCTAAGTCTTTAGAATTCAGATGTTTGCTTGACACTTGGAACAGTAGAACTGAAAGAGCGATTATTATTTCCAGCCCATGTTTGACAAACACAGCTGTGTTAGCCCACCTTCATTTTGAAGGTCGTTTGACGTAACCTCTGGGTTTATTTTTTCATCAACCTTTTGAGTGTACTAACTTCACCATATTTTTTTCTCGGTTTGAAGTAGATCAGTTCTAACGTGCAATGTTTCTGTTTCTCTACAGTACACCAGCTGTTCCAACTACCACCATACTTATGTCAGATCAATTCTGTAACATTTCATAAAACTATATTCTGTCAGGAGATGTTAAACAAAGACAGTTTTATACGAGAAAGCCAAATGTACGAATTATTGAATATTATTTTGTCTTTGACTAGAAATAATTGAAGGTTTAATGCTTAAGGGCAGTTTGTTGTCAGTTTAGTAGACTAGATCCGAAATTCGACTGATTATAAAACTAAATATTTATTAATCCTTTTTTTAATCATATTTTACTTGACTCCTGAATCTCTAACATAGGTTCTCCCAACTGAACTTTTCATGTTATATGTACTGTGGGTCGCATCCTTCTACTGAACGAGAGCTTTTAATCCGTTGGACTGTACGAACGTACATGCTATACTTGGTATTTCAGAAACTAGATATATACGTCAGAAAACAACATACACGTCAATGATGACAAGGCCGAAAGTTAAGAATATGTTTCATCTACCCTACATTAAGGCTATCATTATATTGTGAAAATCTTACCACCCTTTAAGAACTACGTTGCGACAGTTCTTTAAAATAAAGAAATTTATCAAATAAAACACAGTTTGTTTACATTAACTGTAGACGTCAGCAGAAACCAAACAGACGTATGCAAAACGTGACACATGTTAAACGAGAAAATATACTATACGTAACCTTTTTACATGCCACAATAAGAGATCAAGTTCCTTAGAGTTTCCCATTCAGAAGTAAAACAAACGTGTATAGATAAATAACATAATTAGCTATTGTACCATATGTAAAAAGTGACACAACCTTGCTTCCACTTATTAAAAGAAATACAAGTAATTTGTCCCCCGCTGGCTCAACAGTAAGTCTGAAGGCTTATAATGCTAAAAACGGGAGTTCGATACTCGTGGTGGGCACAGATAGCTCATTGTATAGCTTTACGTTTAACAACAACAACAATAAAAAACATACAAGTAATTTGGTTACATACTATAACAGCGAATCTAGTTTCTTTTAGTGTGCCATTCAGAATAAAGCACATGTGTATAGTTAAATAACAAAATTAGCTATTTTACTAAATACGTAAATTAATACTCATTTATCTTACTGTTTTTTCTACTATTATATACAAGCATGTGGCATATTAATGGGAATGTAAAGGCCTTCTTAAAGATAATTCTTAACAGCTATATTTCAGGGATAAAACCGAATCAGCTAATGAGTAGTGAAAAGAAGGTGTCGATATTGTGTTCAGTGACCTCTGGTGAGAAAAGTTGTGCCCTTAAAACTCGATTTATATTTAGTTTCGACTCACTAAAAGCTAGTGATGAAATACAAAAAATACTCTTGCAAGTGATTGTTCTATTAAAACAGTTGAGGTATAGATCTGGAAAAGTCATTAGTGCTTATTCTCTGAACTTGTGTAAAATTTGGAAAAGATATATAGTGGGAAAAATTAGATCCACAAAACGTACGATAGTGAAAAAACTAATTTATTATATAAAGTAATGTTTGTTTTTGGAAGCGCAAAGCTGCGCAATGGTCTATTTGAGATGTGGCACCCATTCCACAGGGTATTGAAGCGTTTGGTTTGTTATGAATTTCGCGCAAAGCTACACGAGTGCTATCTGCGCTAGCCGTCCCTCATTTAGCAGTGTAAGACTAGAGGGAAGGCAGCTAGTCATCACTACCCACTGCCAACTCTTGGCCTACTCTTTTACCAACGAATAGTGGGAGTGGCCATCATATTATAACGCCCACACAGCTGAAAGGGCGAGCATGTTTGGTGTGATGGGGATTTGAACCCACGACCGCAGATTGTGAGTCGAGCGCCATAACCACTCGTATGGAAGCGAGGGAAAATGTTATTATTCACAAAATACCGAAGAAGCAATCAACAAAATTACTCTTACAACTATGAGTCCCGTTACTAGCTATTTCTTTGTTATTTAATTTTTTCAGGATTTTTTTTAGAATTTGATGGGGGTTTGGGGACTTCGTGAAAATATAACCCTGTTTATCACGCTTGTTTTTAGTACAACTGTACACCTTACACTCGGACATGTTGCTTAGCGGAGTTCAGCTGTGAAATAACGGTTAAATACTGTCCAAATCCGTGGTCAATGGAATTCCTCGTAATCAAGAAATATACAGGGAATTATCAATAACATGTGATTTTTTTTTCTTAAAAAAAAAGCACTGTTGCGAAGCGGTAGGAAAAGTACATTTTTCAAGTACTGGTTTTTATCAGTATTAGACAGACAGCTTTCAGTATTCTCTTCTTGGAAACTAGCCACATACTGACCAGAGGTTCTTCGTTTTCGATGTTTATTTCTTTAAAGCTATAATGAACAGTAATTAAGCCATATACATGTCTTATGTAATGCAGTGACATCTATCAATAGAAAAAGGAGTTGAAATGTTTTTGCTACAATTGCTTTAAACAATATTTGTGTTATTGTTTGAGTAGCGCCTGTTTTATAAAACGTAAAACTACTATACGGTGATTCCCGTATGCTAAATTGATAAAAGTAAATGAATAAAACAGAAGGAAGGTTTTATTTATAACAGGCACAATCATTTCATCAATACCTGAATTGAATGCCTATTTTTCTGTGTGTCATCAATAAAAGCCTAATTAGTGCAACGGGAGAAAACAGTTGGATTAGACTACAAATAATACGTTTCTTTCCTGAAATAGAATGAGTTTAAAATCTTTTAAATTGGAGGAAGATCAGTGAAAAAAAAAAACGAAACAAATTATTACCTCTGCTACTCTACACACACTCACCTCGACGCTAGAATATAAATATATATATATACAGAGAGATAAAATACTTTAGCTGACCTCTAGCGATGTTTTAGGATCCATTTCATGTTCCTAGTTATTGTTGAGTCAGACCTGGAATTTCCTTTTAATAAATCAAAACTTTACACAGAATATCTTCAATATACATTGGACGAAAGCTTTTATTTTGAATCGTCAAAAGTGAATAACCAGACCTCACTCAGCGTCGGAAGCTTTCGAAACATAGTTACATATTGTACGACTGTAGACGGTATATATTTAAAAAAACAACAACAATGAATCGCAATAATAATAAAAAATAAACGTTCTCCAACCAAATTTATCCGACGCTAGTGAACCCCTCAGTGGCTCAGCAGTAAGTCTGATAACTTAAAACGCTAAAAAAACGGGTTTCGATACCGGTGGTGGTCACAGCACAGGTAGCCCATTTTGGTGGCTTTGCGCTTCACAACAAACAAACCGCCTCAAGTGTGTCATTCAGAACAACAATAACAGAATTTAGTTATACCGAGTCTTTAAAACTCAAATACACGATATTTTTCTTGAAATTACAAAATAAAAAGGTTTTGTTTATTTTCTATAGATTCTTTGATTGGTTTTTTTTTGTCTGGAGTCACAAAACGATATATTTAACTCATTAGGATATTAAGTTTGTAATATCCTGATAATTGTTATACAGGCTCAAGTAGAGCATGAAATGTTTGATGTTTTTTTATAATACTATATTTGTTCACAATAAATCATATTATTTGACAAAAAGCTCTGTGTTTGTGTGTGCATCCACTTATAACTGACGAACCGCCAGACCGATGGTCACCGAACCTGACATGTACCCAAGTATAGCCACATTAGACATTGTTCATACAGTATTGTTCGACTGTTAGAAAACACAGCTTCTGACAAAACAAACATACGATATTTGGCAATGTTTGCTCGTGTCATCGGAGTCAGCAAACGCTCTAGTATAAAATGATACCAGAGAAAGGTGAACATATTTAAGCATAAAAATAACACGAAATATACGGTAACGTTTGTTTCCACTCTGCTAGTTGGTATACATAACGTGCACGTGAAACATTCTGTAGCCACTGCTAACCCTTGTGGGAAAAATTGTTGTTTGCTGTAAAAAAAAAGGAATCTGCTTATTGTTCTTTCACACAATATCGATACTGTTTGTTTTGAACATAAGTTTTAACATGGGTAGTTGATATTCTATCTAAAGACGCTAAATTGTAGTGGAAGTTCTGTGTACTTTATAGTTTTTACTTCGAGAAAAAGAATATCGCAATTTTATTAAAAGTATGCTTGTTATGAATAGTTGGGCTATAATTAAGAGTTTGAAACGTTGTAAAAACAATGATCGATATGCAACAATCGTGTTACAGGGTATGGAGCATAAAGTAAGGTAAAGACATATATTTAGTGACATTGTAAGATTCGTAGCTACAATACACCAACTAAAGGACCAACTCCTTCATCATCATCATCCAACGATCTCAGTTACAACACAGTAAAACAAGGAGACATCTCCAGTAGTCGTCACGTTAATGTTAACAGACACAATACAGTAAAACAGGGAGACAGCTCCTGTAGTCGTCATGTTAATGTTAGCAGTTACAATACAGTAAAACAGGGAGACAGCTCATGTAGTCGTCACGTTAATGTTACCAGTTACAACACAGTAAAACAGGGAGACAGTTCATGTAGTCGTCACGTTAATGTTAGCAGTTACAACACAGTAAAACAGGGAGACAGCTCAT